GAAAAATTCTCTCATTGTTATACAGTCCCTCCCCCAGGTCCACTCCACTGTGCAGCCTTCATTCTGGACTCATGTCATGACAGTAATACCTAATCACATTTCCCTTTTAATTCTCTCCCTCATCTGTTTCAATGCAGTATACATTATTTATCCCCTCTTTCTCAGTCTCCCCCCAACCCTGGTGTCAGTCCCGTTTTATAACAGTGGCACCATGCAGTATTTGTCCTTTTGTGACTGAGATATTTCACTCAGCATAATGTCCTCCAGGGTCACCTGTTTTGCATAATATTGCATGAGTTCCTTGTTTTTCAATGCAGCATAGTATTCCATTGTGTGAATATACCAGAGCTTCTCTATCCATTCGTTTGTTGGTGGGCACCTGGGTGGTTTCCAGCTCTTTGCTATTTTGAACAGAGCCGCAATGAACATGGGGGTGCATTGTCTGACATTCTGTACAGATCGTGGTGGTGGCATAGTGTGTTGTTTTGGGCTGCTAAAGAAAAGGTCAGCGGTTCAAGTCCACCTGCTGCACAGCAGGAGAAAGATGGGCTGTTCTTGCTGTGAAGATTTGTGGCCTTGGAACCCGGTGTAGGGTCGTCGTGGGTTGGGGTCCACTAGACCACAGTGGGGTAGGTTTTGGTTTTATACAAGCTGTTATGGGGTGTCAGCTGTGTCTCTAGGACTCCGATTCCCCACCCTTTGCCTGCCGACCTTGGGTCTTGGGGAGCACCTCGGTGGTCACGTCTGTCTTCCGTGTCCACACCTGTCATTTTGTTTATGACCTCGAGGTCATTTCTGTTTTGGGATTGGAGCCAGGGAGGTGGTCTCAGGGAGTCCCCCAGCTGGACTCTGGAACCATGCGCTCTGGTCTGCATTTTCCCCGGTCCTGTCACATCTGCTGTGGCTCCGACCAGAACCACAGATTTGGGGAGGTGGCAGGCACCGTCTAGTTGTGGGCCAGAGTGGAAGAGGCCATGCAGAGGGCCCGCTCTGCCCACTTCTCCAGAGACCAGGGGCTCTGCGGGGGAGAGACTGGACACCCCATGGGGCAGCTCTGCTCACCCTGGGGATATGGCAAATGCGAATTGCCTGCAGTTCCTGTGGACAAGCCTGTCATTGAATGTTGTTGTTGTTGCTGCCGGTGCAACCCTGTATACAGCATCTCTGAAGCCTGCCCTGTCCTCAGCCGGTCTCACTGATTCCGACACACGAACCCCATTGCCCCAGTCACTGTGTCAGTCCACCTCCCCTGGGGTCTTCCTCTCCTGCTCTGTCCCTTCCCAGCATGATGTCCTTCTCCAAGGACCTGTCTCTCCTGGCCACGTGCCCAAAGTATGTGAGACGGAGCTTGGAGTACAGATAGGAATTCTAATCAGAGGACGTAAGCTGTCATCAGACATCCGTTTGCGGTGCGGTCCGCATTGGCACGCTGGGTAACCCTCATTTTCATCTGTGTGCCGTTCCTGTTGTGTGTGTGGTCTGAGCGGAGGCCAGCCCAGGCTGGACACCATGAGGAGGGCCCCTGGCTAGGCTGCACAGGCCAGCGCTGGTGCTGCACAGGGGCCCTCTGGCCTCAGGTGTGCCCAGCAGACCTGCCCAGCGTTGGCCGGACCACCTGTGTGAGTGGGGGGGGGGGCTGGAGAGCCAAGAGCAGTTACCTGGGGTGCAGCCACTGTCCCCTCTGCTTCCCTCAGCGTGACTTGTCCTGGGGCCACAGCAGAGCTGACCACTTGGCTTACCATGCTCGGCGGGGCAGCGTCCTGGTAGCGGCAGCGTCCTGGTCGCAGGGCAGCGTCCTGGTGGCGGGGCAGCGTCCTGGTGTTGGTAGCGTCCTGGTGGTGGCAGCGTCCTGGTCGCGGGGCAGCGTCCTGGTGGCGGCAGCGTCCTGGTGGCGGCAGCGTCCTGGTCGCGGGGCAGCGTCCTGGTCGCGGGGCAGCCTGGTGTTGGCAGCGTCCTGGTGGCGGCTCCGCTCTCATGTTCTTTCTCGCTCCCTCTCAAGCAATGCCATGGGTCATGCATGGACTATGAAGGTCACATGGAGCTGCAACCCCCCCATCAAGAACTCCCCGCCCTGAAAGGAGAGGCCCGAGTAAGGGAATTCTGTTTGTCCCGTCCACCTTCGAGGTGGCCAGCGCAGTGGTGCTGTGGAGTTCTGAGGGATGGTCACGGGGTCCCATCTCTAGAGGGGCATGCTGGGATGGCATGCGCCCCCGTGGGTGCGTCGGCCTTGGTCACTCAGGGAAGGTGACGGCTGTTGGGTGTCTCCTGGCTGCAGTGGGAGTGGAGAGCGTGCGAGGAGGGAGGGTCTGAGAGGCACTGCACAGACACGTCCCAGCCTCGTGTCCAGTGACGGGTCCCTCCCGCAGCAGGTCACGGCCGTGCAGCCTGGTGGTCCGCTGCTTGAAGTTTCTCTCTGGGGAGAGCTGTTGCCCTCTGCTTGTGTGCTGGTTTGTTCCGTCAACGAGGACTTTGTATCTCTGTTTGATCCGGTCTCGTGACACCCCAGGACTGCCGTGGCTTGTTTTGAGAATGCTTGCGGGTGCTCTCTGTGGCCTCCGACCTGCCTGTCCTGGTGGAGCGGTACGGGAGAGGCCTCAGGTTCACAGGTCTCCACGGGGACAGGCCCTGAGTGGCCACCAGGCAGTCTGTGCAGAATGGCGCCCCATACCCTCTAGTCCCGCCGTGCCAGCATCTGTCCCCGGTGGGGGTTTCCTTCCTAGGGTCCCAGAGCTCTGGGCTGTAAGCCAAAGTCCCACAGCCACGTCTGTTCCCAGTGCGCTAGACGTTTCCACGTACCCCTAGGTGGGTTCTGGCCTGCTTGCCCGGGTACAGTGCGTCCTACAAAAACTTGCGTGCTGTGAACATCTCGGGGTGCAGGTGTCAGTCCTCCCTAAACTCGGGGTGCAGTGACAGGATAGCAGCTCTGTCACCCAAACTTGGGGTGAGGTTTCAGGATGCCAGTCCTTCCTAAACTCGGTGCGGTGACATTGTACGTGCGCAGGAGTCCCTGAGGCAGCCCTGTCAGACGCCCCGGCAGTGTAGTCGAGACTGAGCATCTGCGTCTACTTCTCAGAGCAGAGTTGGGGTGCGTGGGCCCAGGTGGGTGGGCCCTTAGCCTTCCAGAATAGTCGTGGGGGTGCTTCTTGCCATGTGGTCTTAACTAGGTGCTCTTTCTGAGGGGACCCAGGCTTGGGAATGCGGGCCACCAGTGCCCTCGGGACAGTGGGAGCCCTGTCTACCTGAGTGCTCTGGTGGAAGCAGTACTTCCTGCCCTGGAGCCTGGGTGGCATTTTCCTTAACAGTGTGGAGACAGGATTCATACACCCAAGAGCTCACACTTAAAGAGGATATTGTGAGTCTGAGTGAGTGAGGCTGACCCTGCAGCAGGTTTTGATTGACTCAGTGACTAGGGAAACGGGGTAGGTGTGGGAGACAATAAAATTGGCTCAGGATAGAGCAGGGTTCCGAGCTGTTGTACATACGGTCGCTATGAGCCCCAGGCGACTGGCAGTACATAGCACCTACAGCAAACTGCATGGGAGGAGGTGGTGGCTTTGAACTGCCTGCCTTTGGGCTGGCAGCACAGCTTCTTGCCACTCGGCACCAGAGCCCCATATTGAAAGGATATTTGTAGTTAGTGGTTTTCCGAATTGTGCAGCCTTCCCCAGAGGCAGGTTTCCAATGTCGTCCTCACTCCAGAAAGGGGGACCAAAGCCTGGAATTGCAGTCAGCGAGGTGCACGCAGACGTGTGTCCTTCCACAGGGGACAGAGAAACTCAGTGGTCCCTCCGCTCAGGAGTCTGTTAGCCATAGAGAGAGTGTGCATTCTGGTGCAGGCGCGGTGTGGACACACCACACTGCATGGACGCACTGCGTGGCTTGGACGCGCCTGAGCACATGCTCCAAGGGAGAAGCCAGGCCTCGTTTGTCTAGTTCCATTCCCGTGAGAAGCCGTGCAGAGGTGGAGACACCAGACTGGGGGACCCCGTTTGTCTAGTTCCATTGACATGAGAAACCGCAGCAGAAAAGACGCAGATCAGGGAGAAGGCTGGGGGGGGGGGCATGTCCTCACAGGCACAGCGCTTCTGCTGCAGCGATGGGAATGTTCTGGAAACGGGGGTCGTTGTGAGTGGGAGTGTTCTGAATGCTTGAACTGTGGCATGGAAGCAGTGAAGATGGCAGGAGCGGGGTTTGTGTGAAGAGAAGGGGGCCCACGTCGCCACCATCCCTCTCTGTACCCGTCCCCCAGCTCTGCTGACCGCTGACCTGCTTAGCCAGTTTCACCAACAGCACGCAAAGGGTCCTACTCCACACTCCCTCGCTGGCCCTTCCAGTACTGGCCATCCTAGTGGGCACAGTGGTCTCGCTGCTGCGTGGTGATCCGAAGCCTCTTCCCATGCCCAGTGGCCGTTTCGGTAGCCACCCTGGACACAGGTCTGTCTGTGTTGCCCACTGCCCCTGGTTGGAGCTTGACTTTGTGTCTTTAAAGGGTCCCTTGCAGGACCTGGGTCTCCATTCCCAGCTAGGCCAGGGGCTGATGTGGACCCCCTCTAGGAACCCCAGGTTTATGAGGTCCGATCCTGACTGCTGGACTCGACCTTGCCCCCAGTGGCGCTCTCTGGTGGGGTGTAGAGGATTTGAGCATAATCCCCAAATCCCTGAGAGACAGTTTGAACTGCCCCACAGAAGAAAAGACCTGGTGGTGTGCGTGTCAGAGCCGCCACGGGGAGGGCTTGGCCGCTGGCCGCCTGGGGATGAGGGAAAGGCCCCGCCACTCGACCCTTCGATCTAGTGGGAGAGCTCAGGCAGGAGGTGGGTTGGTGGTTGCCCAGGAGCTGGGAGGGATGATTGTGGACCCAAGCTTCTGTGTGAAGTAACGTTCTGAGAACTTTGTGGAATTGGCCAGTGGTGATGGTTGCACAGTCGGTGAACACTCTCGCCCACCCTTGGCCCTGTTACTGTGAAGTCGTGCCAGACTCCGGACTCTGCAGGGATGGCCCATGAGCCCCTGTCAGAAAGAGCTGCAGGAGATCCCTGCAGAGACTGACCGCTCGTCATGGGCAGGTCCACCCACCCCCAGCCTGCTGGCAGCTCCAGCTTTCAGAGTGTGGAATCAGACGGGCACTGAGGTCCTCCATGTCCCAGGCCCTGGGGGACAGGCAGGGGAGTGGGGCTGGGTCCTGGAGGCCTGTCCTTGGTGGGTGAGCAGCTCTGTCAGGTGGGCTGTGGTGGGAGGTGGGCAGGTCACATTCAGTGCACTGAGTGAGGGGAGGCTGCCCACCCCCACTCTCCTGAGAGAGGCTCCTGCCGCCTCTAAACTGTCCGTCTGTCTTTCAGGACAAACATCACGATGCTGCTCACGAGATCATCGAGACCATCCGGTGAGTGACCCTGTGACCTGACTCCCCAGCCCCAGCTGTCCTGCCGCACAGGGTCCGGGGAGTGGGGTCAGCCTCAGTCCCATCACCAGAGGGCCCATGGTCGGCTGCTGAAGGTCTCTGACCAACGACCCCGTGGGCCCATGCCCATGTGGCCAGTGGCCCTGCCTTGGTCCTGCCCTTGGCGGTGCTCCTTGGACCGGCCCCTGGACGCCCCACTCACAGGCCTTCCATCCTGTCCCCGGGGCCCTGGAGACAGAGGCTGCCAGCGTGGCTGTTAACCATAAGGTGGTTGTTAGGGAGACATGGGGAGTCTGTAAAGATAACCACCTCAGACACCCCATCATCTCAACATCCCATCTCAGACACCCCATCATCTCAACACCCCTCCTCAGACACCCCATCGTCTCAACACCCCGCCTGAGACACCCCATCATCTCAACACCCCGCCTCAGACACCCCATCATCTCAACACCCCACCTCAGACACCCCATCATCTCAACACCCTGCCTCAGACATCCCATCATCTCAAAACCCCGCCTGAGACACCCCATCGTCTCAACACCCCGCCTCAGACACCCCATCATCTCAACACCCCGCCTCAGACACCCCATCGTCTCAACACCCCGCCTGAGACACCCCATTGTCTCAACACCCCACCTCAGACACCCCATCATCTCAACACCCCACCTCAGACACCCCATCGTCTCAACACCCCACCTGAGACACCCCATCGTCTC